GGCAGCCTGCCGTTGTTGTAATTGTAGATAATTGTTGTTGTTATTGTTGTTGCTGTTGCAGTTGTTGCAGCAGCCTTTTTTCTCTTTTTTTTCAGTTTTATTTTTTGCAGGCGCTACAAATTTCCAAGCCCCGCTAGGCGCATTTGCGCTGGCGCACGATCCCCACAAGCCCAGAAAAACAAAGCCCAAAAAACGAACAACCGGCAATTGTAACATCAACATGAGATGTGCCTGGGCACATTAAGCCAAGCAGCTTCGGCAGCTTCGGCAGCTCCAGCCCGTGCCCCAAAATTTAGTTGGAGCTTTCAATTGGATATAACTCTTGGTCTAAGCAACTAAATGAATGGAATTTCTGTTGAAATTGATCTCGTTAAAATTTTATTTTTGTAAGTCTTTATTTATATTTCATAAAAACCTAAATAGCTCTAAAACTAAAAATAACAACGTTTGTTTAAATTAAAAGGAATTGAATTTTTTATTACTATTTCTTTTTATTTATTTATTTAGTTAGTTAATTTTTTTAATATATATTTGGACTTATTTTTCTTTTTTTAAGTAACTTTTTTAAATATTTATTTATGTAAAAACATTTATGTATATTTTTTATATACAACCAATTTTCTAAATTGTTTATTAAATATACAAAATTAAAATAAAAATTAATTGTATTAAGAATTTAATATTTAGTTATATTTTATTATAATATTATGTTTAATATTTGCGCCATAATAATAATAACAATAATAAGACTATTATTTCCTATGCTACATGCTCATCAAATATTAATTTGATTTTATAAAAATTAAATATATATTTTTAATATTTATATCATTATTTACATACTTTCCTTAATCATCATTTGCATACTTAAATTTTCCTTTACCAAAAAAATAAATATATATTTTTGAACTTTCAAATTGCTCTAGCCGATACCCAATACGTGATGCCCTATACCTCAGCCCGTGCCCAACTCTGTTTTGGGGCCTACGTCCACTGAGGCTACTCTTTGACTTGCGTCTAATTTCTTGGAGTTGCCTTTCGGTTTGTGGTGCTCTGCTCTCTAGCTGCGCAGAGACGCCACCAAAAACGCCGAATGTCGTGCCACGTTCTCTGTGCCATCGCCGCTGCCCCCCTCCCGCCTACAGCTGCGGCACTGCGGCACTGCGGCACTGCTCCACAATCTGCAGCCGTCGCCCGTTGTCGTTTAAATCGTACCACCACGGGCGACATAAAAATAATGAAGTGTGCGGGTGTGGTCGACTCGCTCTTAACTTGGCCCGGCTGACTGTCTCTCAGTCTGTCCGTCTGTCCGTCCGTCTGTCTGACTGTCAGCTCTGGCTGTGGTCTGGCCTGGCCAGGTCTGCTGCTCCGGGGCTGACTGGCGATCTGTTTCGACTGTTGCCAAAGACGTCGAAGCCAACGAGACGTTTGCAGATTGCTGAATCGTGTTTAGCCCAGCGGTGCGCTTTGCCATCAAACCCAATAAACATTTGCTACACCACTTAGAACTAGCTGCAACTACTGTGTGCAAACGCTGCGCTAAACCTAATATCATTTTCATATAGATCGTGTCATTTTTCAGTATGTTTTATGAAATATTTCATATTAGAGTTGAGTATAGATTTATGAATAAAATATATGCCAAGAAAAATTACAAGATTTTTATGAGCGAAATAAATCTTAAAATGGTTTTAGAAAGGAGAATTTATAATAATTGTATGTTAATATATTACTTATCAAATATATAATATGATAAAAATAAGTCTACAAGTCAACAAAACTCTCTTCAATAATAGAATATTCTATGAAGACCCAGGAAGTCTATACTTCAATATCGCCAATATCATATCATCACTATGCAATTTAGATTCTTGATTCATAGATGCACAGATCTCTAAGCTTTCAGAATTTTCTTTGAACTTAATACAGCTTTAAGGACAAAGTCAACTTAAGTTTATCCATGAATACATATTTATGAACATCACCCATCAATAAAAATATTTCTCATGCTATTTATTTACTTAATTCATTAATGCACTAATGCTAAATAACAACTCTATTCACAATAGTATGATTATTTTCAGAGCAACTGGTCTTGCCACCTACTCTTTGTTCGCTTTAGGAACTTGTCTAAAAATATGTTCGCTGTGTTATTTGCCCACTAGTTGACGTACACACACGCCCAACAACAGCTAGAAATATAACGGTATCCAAGGTTGTGCTACGCTTAAAATGTAATTGTTCGACTTAAAGAGCTGCAGCAACAATAACAACAACGGCAACAAGAACAACTGTAACGACAAGCTTTGGTTCAGACTCTAATCAAAAGACGCAAGCGAAATACCAGTCGAAAGGCAGCCGCAGCTACCCACCTATAAAAGTTCCATGTGCATAGCAGCAGCAGCAGCAGCAGCAGTAGATACAGATACAGATACATTTGTATCTATATGGTCCATGCACATGCCATGGATATACGAATAGACAAACACACACACACACACACATCAACACCAACACACAAGAGCCAAGCGCAAGACAAGCGCCGCACTCGCTGATTTGACTGACTTTGAGCTCTATGCGGGAAATTTTCACTTGAATATTCGACACACTTACGAGCCGAGGCGACTGGAGCCGGCGCACAGCTGGACGCCTTGGCGCAGGACTGTCTGACGGTCGGGCGGACTTGATTTTTTGTTTCGCGTATACCCTGTAATTCAGCTTAGAATGGGTGCGAAGGGCGTATGATCAAGTAGTGCAAAGTGTGGGGATGGCAGGATCAACAATCAAGTAGAGCTCTCTATTCAATGCCATCGAATAGAGTCTAGGGAGTGGTAGCCTAGCAAGATATATATATATATATACATATATATATATTTATATACATATAGTATATATATACATATATATTTCTGAGCTACGTGAAGTAAAATTCGATTTCGAGATTTCGTTTGGATCAATATCTATTTTATGCATTTGTTATAGGCTTGTTTATAATATATGATATATTATTCTAATTCTAGTATATTATTCTAATTCTTCTATAATAATATTTAATGTATTCAATCTATACTTTAAAAAAAAAAACTGTTATGGGATAGATAAGTTCTGAAAATGGTAGATTAGGTTAGGGTAAAGTTATCGATAACTGTTTAAAGTTACACAATTAGATACCAAAATAATCAGATAAATATTTATAGCAACTATGATATATGATATGCTTTAGTTCAATGTCCTGGCATCGCAAGATTCATACAGAATCGAAGAGTAAACATAATAGAAATATGTTTTTTAAGCTGATTGAATGTTAAATTGATCGCCCCACAGGGTAACTTCCCGTCGAACCCCCCACCGACCAGATCACTCTTACTGGTATCGCTTTTTTTCAGGGAGGGGCAACGTGGCAATTCTGGAGGCTATGCATCATCATCAACAGCATGGCAGCATGTTGCAACAATATGCAAGCGCTCTGCATGCATAAAATATTATGCAACACGAGGCGCACAACAACAGACAAGAGACACAGCAGACACAACAGGCCAGACGACACTTGGCTCTGCTTTGCTGTCTATTTCACAGCTGTTGTTGCTGCTGTTGCTGTTATTGTAGTTGTTGTTGTTGTTGTTACTGTTGCCTGGCTGTTGCCTGGCTGTTGCCTGGCTGTTGACAGCATTTAGGTCTAATTGAATTGCCATTGCCTGTTCAAATGTTACGTCGTAATCCTGGCTTCAAGAACGCTTTGCTCCCATTTAAGCAAAACCCATAAATCTGCAGCAGCAGCCGCAGCATGAATTATGGCAAAGAGTTGGGGCAGAGGTAGGCGCGCACACCGACCAGTGTTGCGAAATGCGCCAAGTAGCGCCAAGAAATCTTGAAAATAATAAAATGACTAGTGCCAGGGCACGATCAAGACCAAGTGCTGCTGCTGCGGCTGCTGTTGTTGCTTCCACAGCAACTGTTGCCGCTGCCGCTGCTGCTGCTGCTGCTGGCTTAATAACAATAACAATGGAGCTGCTCGGCAGTTAAGATCGGTCGCCTTCACAGTAGTCAGCATTGGGGCGTCTGCAGTTCAACGTTCAAGTGGCATAGTACGCCCTAGAAAAATGAATTGATTCGATTGTTGCGACTGCTGAGCTGCTGCGGCTCACTGGGCCAAACTTGGCTCATTGTTTGCAACTTTTTTCTTCTATCTGCACAAATCAGAGTCACCCGCGCCCTCAAAACAACCAACAACAAAAAATCGAGCTAAGAACTTTGCAAACAAGTTGAACCTGCTGTTCAATGCTCGTTCAGGACTTAAAAAATGTAGTCTAATTTATCGCAGCCACTGTACTATATATAAAATGCAATCTATGCAACTTTTATATGAGATCTTTGAGTTTGTCATATGATTAAGTAATACGTTTCCAGCTCATGTCACATCATCTCAATAATAGTTGTGATGCACTAAGCCATTGAGGAAATTAGCTAGGAGTGTCTACTTTTATATACTTCAGGTCTAAAGATCATACCTACTATTTTAACTCCATTAAACTCTCTATACACAAGATAAACGAAGAAGGTCCCTAGCTTCAAGTTGCAGAATATATTGATATTAAGTTATGGATAGTTACAGCTATAAATAATTATAATTATAAAGTTTTTACCAATATCTTTGCTCGAATTGGAAATATGTAAAAAAAAAAAAATGAGAATTTCTTACTCACACGAATTTTCAGAGGACTAAGAACATAATTCCATGCCTCAACAAGCCCATATACCCGCCTTCACTTTTGTAACGAGCATTGAAATATACTAAAAACTGATGATACAATCGCGTTTTTGACTTTGAAAAGTCAGCAGCAGCAGCAGTAATAGCAACAGCAACAGCAATTGGCAACAGCAACAACTGGCAACTGGCAACGGCAACTGCTGCAGCCACAGCAGCTCGACTGATCCATTGTTCAATAGTCGTCGCTGCTCGACTGATTGTTATTGTTTATGAGAGCTGCACTCGAAACAAATTTTGTGGCACTTGCAACATTTTTATTTACAGCATCTTTTTTCTTTTTAACAACAGAAGAAATCATCGTAGCCGGGCTTCAGTTGTAGCTGATATTGGCCAAACTTGGGCAGCTCGCCACCCTTCGGCGACTCCTCCTCCAGCCAGGACATCATCTCCTGCAGCTTATCCTGTGTGCCCTCCAGTTCACCGCTCACCGCATATCCACATTGGGTGCGTGTCATATAGCCGCGCACATTCAACTCGGTGGCCTTTAGGGCGGCACGTGGCATCAGACCCTTGATATCGGATAGGTACAGCTTGTAGGATACCCTATAGACTGCGACCGGTTCGTTCAGCTCGAATTGCATGGACATTTTTGATGAATTACTATCAAAGGGCTAATTGAACTGTTTCTCAGATTGGTATTGAAATAGATTAAAGTCCGATAAATATATACGTAAATATATATACATAGATATATATGCAAATATATATATATATATAGTTATAAATGTTTATATAATATATTTCAATACCAATCCATTACACTCTGATGGAAAAACAAGTGACTACTACGATTTTCCCATTGATTGTGATTGAAGTTTAGCAGGGGTTATTCAACACTGTTTTGGTTCATTTTAAAAAGTGAAACTCGCTAACTTTGATTTCTTACCATATTGGATTTTACTACAATCTTGCACAGTCTTATGATCATATTTCATTGAATTTTCAAATCAATATAGCTTTGAAATTGATTTCTCAACGTTTGTGCCTTTACCTCAGCAAATCTCCCATTTGAAGCCATTTAAAAGACGACTAAACAACTTTAATAATATAAAAACTCCGTAGAATTTCTAAAAATTCCGAAGAATTTCAAAGAGTTACGAAGAATTTAGAAAAATTCCGACACGTTTCGAAAAATTCCGACACATTTCGAAAAAATACGACAAATAATTCCGAATAATTCAGACAAATTCCGAAAAATTCAGAATAAATTCAGAAAACATGGAAACGGATATGATTAAATCGAGCTTCTCATTTAATAGCGCAGCCTATTTGAAATTGGTCGCTAGTCGCTTGTTGGCTGAACGAAGCGATAGCGAGGATTCCGAAGTCAATTTTTATGGTAGTACCACTTCAGCTAGCGATTCTGAAGCCGTCCTTTGCTTCTGTACGTGCAAGCTGTGTCGGGATCGCAGGAAGATGGCGATTAACAAGGATACCATTTTTCATGCGGAATTCCAATTGCACAAACTGAGTGCCAACGATGGAGAGATCTGTTCTATGCTGATCAGTCAATGCCGAGATTTGGAGCTCAATGGCTATGTTATCTTCACATATGAACGCGAGGATTGCTCGGGCGTTGTCGAGGGATCGATCAAGCGCATAAACGAATTCAAGAGTTGGCTGCATACACTAAACGATCACATACCCCAACCGATGTCGAACAACATCTATTTCTCCTGGTTCCTAGTCACCAGGCCAGGTCTATTGCAGCCAGAGTTCGAGGAGCGCGTCACTCCACCATTTGTAACTAACAAAATGGTAGAAGGCGATTCCAGTGACGAGTAACTCGAACGTATTTTTCTGGCAGTGTAGTGCGGCTGACTCGTGCTGCCAACAGCATGTACCCATTGTTCAACACTGTTTCTATTGGGTCTCAATCTCTTAATTAAATATGCGACTAACTGGCACCCGAAGCAACAAATTTATATACATATATATAAATATCTCGGCTAAGCTCAAGTCGAACTCAAAGATCGTCGTTTAGTGTCGAAATTGTGCAAGTTTTTGATTTTTCCTGCTGCTGTTTTGCCGATGTTGCTTATGTATCTTTTGTTATTGTTATTGTTGTTGTAGTAATCACACAGCTTGCGAACAAGAAATTAAATCAGCCAAGGTTATCTGGCATTAATAAGCCCCTTGGTTTTTGGCTTACATTAACTTGACTCGTAGCTCGAGCTGCCTTTTTGGCGTCTACTCAATTATTAAATTTGCAATTTCCGTGGCCTGAACTTTTGGGTCAGTAGACTGATTTAAATCAAAGCAATAATTGTGCAAAAAAATCAAAAACAAAACAAAATATAGATACAAAAATAGAAGAAATATTGGAAACACAGAACCACAACAAAACTGACGATAAAATTTGACAAATGCTCAGTGGGGCAAACCCCACAGCGGATGTGGCCAAAGTTTAAAGTGCTTTGGGTGAGGCACCGTCTCCAGCTGCACACACACACACACTCACACACACACGCACACACAGAGTCGCTGAGCTAAGTGGCTTTTCATGACATTTTATTGACACTTCCCTCCTCCTAGCTGGGGGAAGACCTGTTTTCTTTCGAGCTATTCGGTTTCGTTTTCGGTTTCGGTTTTCTCACTCGACTTAACACATTTGACGAAGATGTCTATGCCAGAAATGACGTGTCATCAATGGAGCTTAGGCACCCACATAGAGATGTAACCAACACACACACTGAGTGAGATCCAAAAAAAGCACTTGATAAGGCTCGACAATACTCGCTCGTAATAAGCCTGACATTTGGGAGAGTGAGAGGGAGGAAGAGCGGGAAAGGGGGAAGACGACAGATCCACTTGGAGGTAGTCTTCGATGTTTCGTTGTGTAGGCGTCTGACAAAAAAGAAATAAAATAATAATAATTAAAAATCATTTGAAATGCGGAAATGTTACCAAGAGCTTAATGCCAGCCATGTTAGACAAATATATCAGATTACTTGTTTTGGTTACTTGAAATTGAAGAGGAAAAAAATATATTACCGAAATAGAAAAGAAAACAAACAGAAATGAAGTCGAGGGCAGATCAACAGATCAGACAGATCAGCAGATCGGATCGAGTAGGCAGATGACCAGCGAACACGATTTCATTGAACGATTCGCTCCTATGAATAATGGATTGCCACAACAAGAATTTATAAAAGAAGAGATATGAAAGGTTTTAAAGATTCAAACATATATACATACATACATATGTGTGCGAAAATAGGTTTATAATTTTTGCAGATGTTAATAGTCAAAATAATCATTGTATAGTAAGAGGTAGAAAGAGAGGCATCTACGCATTGATGAAGCGAAGCAGAAGAGTGAAAGAGAAAGAGATAGTAAAACAAATATGTGGGAAGAGAGAGAGAGAGAGAGAGAGAGAGCGAGAATTAGATATAGACCTGCATCCTGTAAGAGAGAGACGAAACAAAAAAAAAATGGACATAGAGGGTATAGAAACAGTGAGAGAGAGAGAGAGAGACAGGGTGAGAGAAATAGAGGAAGACAGAGGGAGAGAGATATGGTACAAAGGAGAAATACAGATAGCCAAAAAAAAAAAAAAAAAAAAAAAAAATACAGAATTACAGAGAAAGTCAGAAAGATAGAAAGATGAACATGGCTCAATTCAGTTGTCGATTCTGACAACATTATTAATTTTTGTCTCTACACATCTTTCTTCCTGTTACACTTATTTCATATCCTTCTTCCATTACATAGATTTTATAACAGAAATATAACCCTACTTTCCAATAAATTTAATTTTAACTATTCATTAACCAACATTTACTAATTGTTACTAATATTTAAAAACAGTTAATTAATAGTAGATTGAATATTCCGTGCGCAGGTCAGTCTACTATTAGTCGAGTATACCCCGGCGCACCCTAGACTGCGCCACAGCCTGATGAATAATGTTTGAAAAACTATTTCCATTTTGGCGTTTGCTTTAACTCAAATTCCAATAATTAAATCCCAGTAGATGCATGAAATAATAATAGCTGCCGCCACAGAAGCCTTTTTCGCCAACTAATATTTAATAAACCACTAAAACAAAAACCATTTTCAGACACCAGGCAGCTAAGGGGCAAATGCAACAGAGCAGCTCGAGTTGCACTCGGACTCCGACTCACTTAGTGGGGCAGCTCCTAAACGTTGCACAGAAGGTCAGACCCCGCACGTTTCATGGCTCGAAGCGCACCTATCGTATAATTAGAAACGAACGACAACACAGCCATCTCTACATGTGTGAGTGTGAGTGTGTGTGTGTGGGTGTGTGAGAGCTCAAGTCTGAGTGTGTGTGGCCTGACTCTGACGAGCGTGTACGCAGCGCTTAAATGAGCCAATTGCAGAACGTTTAGTGTGATACATAAAAGAGCGAGAAGCATATATACATACATATACATATTTATATACAGAGTATATAGAATGTAGAAGACAACCAGTGGATCAAACCACACAATATGATAACTAAAACTTTAAGCAAGAGTAAAAGTCAAAGTAAATTTGAGATGCTTAAGCTAATATAATAATTTAAGTACGTTGACTAAAAGAGTACCCAAAAAAAGCTATTTTTATAGAAAATTATGTATTATATAGTCAAAATAAATACTGAATAAATGCATTTCAATAATATGACAAATTAAGTTAACATTTATTTTGTATACAAAAACCATATTGAAAAATAAATAATAAAAATAATATAATAAAATATAATATATTTTGTATACAAAAAAACATATTGTATAATACACTTTTGGCTATGATAAATAATAAAAATAATATTGTACAATAAAATAATTTAATAGTAATATTTAAAAAAATATATATATATTTTTTACTATTAAAATTGGCCTTTACTTATATGCTATATTGCTAAAATTGAATTACCAAATGAAAAATGATATATTTAAATTTCTAACCAGAAATATATAATTTTCAGTTAGTGTGGGTCAAAGAGCTGTAAAAATTTATTTCAGTTTGGTAAACTCTTAAGACAGTTAAAACAAAGCATATTTGATATAAATTGATATAAAATATATAATTTGTATTACATATGTATAAATTATGCAGCTGAACAGAATCAGCAATTTATTTAGTAAATCTATATAAACCTCGATCATACACAATAAAAAGACAGAAATTATATACATTCTAGATTCTATGCTGCGCTATGGCTCGATGCTGGTCAGCTATACAATATATTTATAAACTCAAGTGAACAATATATATACTAGATATACATATGTATGTGTACCTATATACATATTTAGCTAGGAGGCACTGACAACCGAATGGCTGTAACTGAGACGACAGCAGCGAATCGCTTGGCATATGTATGCTGGGGTGTTTGTCGTATGCGATGCTGGGCAATCGTACGCGCACTCGGCTCGAGTCCGCGACAAGCTCAGCTCAGCTCAGTTATATCAATTTGAGGCCCAGCCGCACCCCCCCAGAGGTCTCGCACAGTCCAACTGAGTGGCTCGTTCTCTCGCTGCTGCGCTCGCGCATTGCCGGACCCATGCAAAGTGTGTTTGAAGGCGCGCGTCGCTGATACGTCCGACATATGTATGTATATAGTGTATACACACAGACACAGCTACACATACACATGCACATACATATGCTCACTTTCGATGTATTTCATTTTTTCTTTCGTTTTCATTCGCTGCGCGATTTGAAAACGTTTAAATAACAAGCAGCAACAACAAGCAGCAGCAACAACAACAACAACAACAGCTTTAACTGGCGGGCGGGTCTTCTGCGCGCACACACAAAATCCAACAAAACTTTACGAGCTTTTTATTATTTTTTTCTTTTGCTTCTTCTTTCGTTATGTTTTTGTTTTT